GATGGATGGATGGATGGATGGATGATGGATGGATGGATAAATAGATTTCTAAAGGCTATATTCAGAATTATTTCTTACTTTAACTCACACCTCTTGTCCACCAGCTGAATCTCCCCTTTCATTTACCGTAAGTACAGGGAAGTAAGAGCCAGGTCTAATTCTCCGATTAGTAGTCTTCCATGTACATAAAGAACATTAATTACCTCTCAGCCATCCCTTTTCTTCTCTTAATAGTTGCATGTGTTTCCACCTGCCACCCAAGGTCAGGGAAGGCGCTAATTGGATCCTGTGGCAGACATGCTAGTGACTGGCACCTAGGAGTGTCCTCAGCTAAGGAGCATCCAAACCCGTGGCAAAGTGGCCTTTTGAAAAAGGCTAACGAGCACAGATGTGGGGGAGGCGTCCCGCGTCCGAACGGCGTGACCCAAACGTTAGGCTGAGACCAAGTGGGAGGGAAGTGAGGCCGGGTGTGGCCCCTGGGGACCTCATGGGTGGCACTCTCTCTGCAGGTGAGCGTGGTGGTCTCGCTGGTCACCATGCTGGCGCCCTCTGCCTTTGACCTTATCGCGGCCTTGGAGATGTACCACCCGCGAACCATGCTGCGCTTCCAGCTGGCGAGGTACCACAGCCCCGCGGGAATGCCACCACGTGTGGGTCACCTACCTGCCGTCCCTCAGTGGGAACCCAAGTCCCTCGAGAGCCAGGGCTGGCTTCATGCCGCCCAAAACTTAGCACAGAACTTACCCTATGGGTGCAACTCGAGAAAAGTAGGAGGGAAGGGGGGAGGGGAGAGACAGGGAACGGGGAGATGGCGGAAAGACCAGGAGACAGGTTCAGCGAGGAGGAGATGAAGGAGGAACAGATGGAAAAAGCAGACACAAGAGAAGGAGCACCAGGCTGACAGAAAGCAAACGGCTCGGCCCTCCTCGCTGTCGAGTGCTTTCATGGCGATGTGGGTGGGGAATGACGTCCATGTGACTTTTCCAGATGTGAGACAATCGTGGAGCTCTGCTTCTAATTCCCAAAAGCAGAGATGCTAAGAGGTTCTTGTGGACAAGCCGGGAGCATCTGAGGCCATGCCAGGATGGCCGGTGGGGGTGGCAGCAGGGGCAAACGCGGTCTGAACAACGGCAGGCCCGGGGCCTGACGGGACACACCCCACAGGAGTGCAAGCACCATGTTTCATTCCCAGATGGCTTTGTCCATCTTCCTGAAGAGTCACTTCCCCTGGGTGGTCTCCTCTGGGAGGTGTCCTTAGATTGAACGTGACAGAGGTGCTGTCAGCCCCCACCTGCCCACGTTGGTCTCGTGGTGTTTTCTCTTATCTCACCGACCACATTGTACAGAACAAGCCTTCCACAGACCACTCGGACAAGGGTTGCTCTCCTTGAGGCGTCAGAGGACTGGGAGCAACTGTTTTAGGCTTCAGGGTTCTCAGCGTGCTAACCACTGTCCCCGGGAGGTGTTTGTAAACCTGCCATTTTTCTTATCTCATTTTTCCGGACGTGTGTCGGCTAAGACTCTAGGCTACACCTGGGAAATGCCCTGACATGTTTCCCAAACCCTCCTACTCCGGGGATCAAGTCTGACCGCCGACTGTTCGAGGGTGTTGCTGGCAGCTCCCAGCCACTCGCCTGTCCACGCGGTGTAGCTGTGCCCACGGCCCTCACCGCCTCAGCCCCTCAGCGCGCCTGACAGTGTAGCCTGCTTCCGAAAGAGACCCCCGAGACCCTGAACTGCGTCCTGCCCCTTTGTAACTGTGCGAGCCGGTGAAGGTCACTTAGGCCTCCCCACGCTTCAACGTACTCGGCCCTCAAGCGGGTATGATAATAGTGTGTGCCTCACAGACCTGTGAGGGTCAAACCAGATAATGCCTGGACAAGCATTTTATAAACCGGAAGGCATGACACAGAGAGCTTACACACCACTTCAGAGCCCCGCTTGCTAAGTTCACGGTCTTTCTGCCCCCCGGTGGTGTTTAAATTCTGACCCAAGGATGGATGCAAGCCACCCGGGAGGGTCACACCGAGACCCCGAGACCCCATCCAGACTTACCAAGGCAGGGTGGGTTCTGGAAATCCGTACTTTTATAAATGGCCCCTAATGTGATTCTGAAGGAAACCCAGTGGCAGCCGTTGTCTTGGCAAAACCATGATAGTCACTCGCAGATTGTGGCAGCTCTAGAACCGTGGACTTTTGTGTGGTGGCCTTGTCTCAGGTGGGCTTGTGCCTTCCAGGGTCCTCGTGCTGTATCTGGGCAACCTGTACAGTCTGATCATTGCACTCCTGGACAAAGTGAACAGCATGAGCTCCGAGGTACGTGGGCCATCCCGGGCTGCTGCCCCGACCCACTGACGTACACGCACACACACACCAGGGTCATCATGATTGTCAGGGGAACGGTTCGTAGTGGGCCCACCGTCCCAACCCAACAGTGGTACCCACCCCCAGGCTGGGGTAGCCTGGGAGCTCATTTCAAACCTGGGAGGAGGTTCCAAATGGTGGGGGAGAGGAGGCAGTGAGGCGGAGGAGGCTGCTTAGGGTTGTGTGTCCAAGCCATGCCCCAGGCTAGCATCGAGCTCCAAGCACGGAGAGCTAAGCTCAGCACCTCGGCTTTGATGTTGCACAGACTGGGTCCTTACTGCCTCCTACGAGCAAAGTGACCTTAAGTGTTGACCTTCAGCTGGCTGAGCTTCAGTTCCCTCATCTGGAATGCAGGGTAATTATTCTGACCTGACGCTCTTGTGAGGATGGGAAGATATAACACTAAGAACCCATAAATGCTGTACTTCCCATGACTGCAAGCTCCATTATGGGGCCAACTCTAGTCAGGTGGCTATCTACCAAGCTCAAGATAGAGATGGAGAGACAGAGAGAGAGAGATTGTGCCCACGCAGTGCAATGATGTCCTTTTTTTTTTTTTTTTAACAAATATGTGGACTTTTTTTTCTTCTTTCCCTCCTTCTCTCTCCCCACTCTCTCTCCACAGGAAGCTGCTACCAAAAATAACACAAGTCACTGGACAGAGTCTACCATCTTTGCCACCAGGACGGCCCCTGAAGGAGAGAGATGGTCCACGCCTGGGCCTGGGGCGGGGCTCAGGAGAAACAGCACGTGGGCCCCGGACCTGGCCAGCGTCCCGGCTTACACCATGTCCCTCTCAGACGCCAACCATTCCACCATCAACACCCAGAGTCCGCAGGACCAGTGCTGGGAAACTTACGTCGGACAGGTGGCCCCTTTCTTCCTTCTAAAGCCCTTCACGTCCACTGCATCACTTAGCTCTAGTGACTCTCTGAAGTGTCATTATTCTTACACTATAGAAAAGGTGAGGGTTGAGGGGTTTCCAGGTCTCCAAATTATTATAATAAGCAGTGCAGAGACTCACGCAGTGCTGACTGTGTGAGTCCTCGTGAGAATCCTGTGATTATATAATAATTGTCCAAAGACACACAGAGCCACAGGCCGGTCGGACAGGCCCGAGCCCGGACGCCTGCTCCGAGCTCTGTGCTCTGGCCTTTCACCTTCCACACATTCGTGTACAGAGAGCCCCAGCCCCGAGGTGTTAGCCCCCGACATGGAATCACAGGCCTCAAGTAGTCACCTGCGGCTCGGACCACAGGCCTCAGACTCTCCTGGGTCTGTGTAATGCTGACCTTGGACGTCAGCATTCAAATGCGCGGATATTTATTTACTGAGCACCCATCATGTGCCAGGAGTGAAGGAGGGCACCCAGTGGCCCAAGCCCACGGGAGTGAGCAGAGACGGGGGCCCTGGAGGAAAAGGCGGGCAGCGGGAGGGCGGCCGTGGGAACCCAGGGACCGTGTGTTTCAGGAGATGCTGAAGCTGTCCATCATCGACCTGCTCTTCACCGTGGCCAGCATCCTGCTCATCGACTTCTTCCGTGGGCTCTTCGTTCGCTACTTAAGTGACTACTGGTGCTGGGACCTGGAGAGCAAGTTTGTGAGTAAGACGCTGTGTCCGCTGGGGAAGTTGGTGTGGCTAGATCCGTCTTTCCTGACGTCTGGACTGGGAAGCAGACGTGGCCGACAGAAGATCCACGAGGGACAAGGGAGGATGGGGAAAGATGCGTGTCCTTGGAGCTCTGCCATTTGCTACTTGCTGGGATGGCTGTACAGACAGACAGTGGCTCCACGTACCGCTAAGAGCAAAGCGTCCTCTGCATGCGATGTAAAGAACCACTTTATGCCCAGAATGTGGAGACATTTTTTATGTCGGCTCATTTTCTCTTGCAGCCTGAATATGGGGAATTCAAGATCGCAGAGAACGTGCTACATTTAGTCTACAACCAAGGAATGATTTGGTAGGTACTTAGCTGCTTCCTGCAGTGGTCACATGCCATCTGGGCCAAGGTTTTACTCACTGTGGGTAGGGTGTGCCCACAGTGAATACCATCATACAAATTAAGAAAGAACACAGGTTTTAATGGAACTATTTCACATGCATGGTAGTTTTAGTAATGGTTTTCTAAGCATTTTGCAGAAAGGAATGGTGGAAGAAGCAGTCCATTTTTAGGCCACTTTTGGTGACTGCCAAAAAAAATATCCTCAGGAACCGGTAGAATGAGCTGCTGGCGGGATTTGGGTAAGGAGAGGAGGAGGAGGTTGCTGACCCCCACCCCCACCCTGACGACTTCCAGGAGTGGCTGTGTCACAGCTGGGAGACTGGCCAGCCCTGCCCTCAGCTCCCCACTCTCCCTCCCACGTCCTCCATGTCTTCACTTAGACACGGTGCCCGGGAGCACGGCCATCCCCCAGATGGACGGACCCATCCTGGTGAGGCCAGAAACGGGGGAAGTCGGTTCAATCAGGACAAATCCTGCCCGAGACCATGTTCCCAGAGAGCTGAGGGGGCTGTGTGACTCCCTTAGACGTGTGCCTCTGGGGGCATGGCACACAGCTCCCTAGGTCAGCCAGCCCTCCGTCTCTGCCCTCCCTACTGGACCCCACATTTGTATTTGTTAAAATACAAAGCAAAAAGCCAACAAAGAAAAAGAACCCCCAGTTCCATACGTTGAGAAAACACAATCTGGCTTTATAATCGTTAAAATGCACGGGGTCCCAAGACGTAGAAAATCACATTCCTTCCATCACATTCTATATTTGTATAGTTCACTTATTTTGCAAACTATTTTCACAAATACAGAATTAAAAATAATGCATAATATTTACTAGCTATCAGGCCCTTTTATACCCATTGTGACTGGCTTAATCCTTATAGAAACCCTGTGAGGTTACTGGTATCGTTTACTCCATTGTAAAGACAGGAAATGGAGGCACAGAGCAGCTAGGTATCTTGCGTAATGTCACACAGTAACAGTTTTGTTTGCTGTGAGAAAAACAAGTTTACTTTTAAAAGACTTATTGAAACATATTCTTGTATCTATAACTACTTTCCTACCACTAATTCCACCAGCATTGTGTCAAATGCACATCCAGTAAAAGTGGATGTGCCTTACAGTCAGAAGACCTGGGTTTTGTTCCATTGTTGACACTTATTTGCAGGGTGACTGGCTGTGTGTTTCCCTGGGACAGTCCATTCCCTACCTGTTGCCCCAGACCTGTCACTCTCAAAAGGATCTCAGTCTGGATGACACAGGGTCACCCTTTTTTTTTGTTTTGTTTTAAAGATTTTATTGGGGAATTATGGGGAGGGGAACAGCGCTGGGGAATTGGGGAAGGGGAACAGAAAAGTTGCTGTCCTTTCATTCTTCAGTCTAGTTGTGGAGGACGTCGTTTCACTGGCCCATGTTGGTATTATCATTGCGCTCTTCCCGGCTGAGGCAGATTGGTCATCGGCCACCGGACGGCTGCTCACGGCAGCTCTTGGCAGCTCACACTGGCTGCTGGCCACACACGGTAGCTTACGGGAGCCCACTGCAGCCCCACTGCAGCCTACACCGTCGCCGGCAACTCACTGCAACCCAACTCCAGGTCGAGCTGTTGTTCACCATCTTAGCTGTAGAGGGCAGTGTCACTGGCCCTCATGTGGGATCCGAACCGGGCCCTGCTGCTCAGAGCTGGCGTCCCAAGCCAACTCCTAACCAACGCACCACTCGGCTGGCCCAGGTCACCCTTTTATTAGCAGCATGTCTTTGGGTAAAGCACTTACTTTCCCCAGACCCACCGTCCACGTGTATGAGGTGTGGATGGCTAGCTCTCCCTTCGTGACCCTGAGGTCATGATTAGCTGGGCTGAAATGTGTGAGGCCCAACAAAAGGAGCTGCTCCACATACGTGCATTAAACCAGTCTGTCATTTATTATGTTAACGTAGGCGAGTCTCGAGCTTGCCCCAAACTGTAGTTATCACCAGAAGAGGCCCTTTCCTTTGCTAAGTGTGAGGAGAGACAGGTGCTAAGTGTCCCTGTGCAAAGAAGGTCCTTGAAAATACCCCGCCCACCTGCAGACGTGATGCCGTCTCTCCAGAAGGCAGAGCGTCAGAGTCGCAGGCCTTTGGGGGCTTCTCTAAGCAGAGGGTGTAAACCCCACGGTCTCCGAGCCACGGGGGCTGGAAGGGAACACAGCCTCACTGGCCTCCCCTGCCGCTTCCAGGATGGGGTCCTTCTTCTCGCCATGTCTCCCCGCATTCAACGTCCTCAAACTGGTGGGTCTGATGTACCTGAGGAGCTGGGCTGTGCTGACATGCAACGTGCCCCACCAGCAAGTGTTTCGAGCCTCCAGGTCAGTAGAACCAAGTCTGCGTCGCGCGGTGAACTCGTGCCATCCACGCTCGCCGTGTCCCGGGCCACCTCCAGCAAGGGGACCTCCCAACTCCCCACCATCACCATCCTTCTGTCCCCCAGTTTCCCCCAGGAAGACATTTCCAGCACCCTCACCTGGAATTAATCATTACCCCCGTCATGTGATGACACATGTTTAAAAACTTTTTACTGATGTTTAATAATCACTTAGAAAGTGCACACATCGTAAATACCCGCTGTGACGCATATTCACCATCTGAACACAAGTGTGTAACCCGCACCCAGATGGACACACGGGACAGAGGTGTCACAGGAAGTCTCCCTGGATCCTGGCCACCGCCGACGGCCGGCGGCACCGTTCGCTGTGCCTGGTCGTTTGCTTTACGTCTGCGGAATTCCTCACACAGTGTGCTTTGTTCCTGGTTTAGCCCCTTCAGCATGGCACTTGAGAGTCACCTGGCTGAGGAAAATGCCCCAGAGCCTTTCCTCATGCTCCCTGTTTCCAGCTGCCGGCTGTCCTTGAACTTGAACCTTCTCCTAGGTGTCTCTTGTGGGGCAGACCCTGTGAGTGCACAGCTGGGTCACGGGGCTTCCTGCTCCAGGACAGCACCAGGAGCTTCGCCTCCCACTGGCCGGATGGGACAGCCGGTAGCTGTTCTGCAGCCTGGCCAGTACTTGTGTCATCTGGTGGTTTGTTTTTTTCCTTTATTGGCCATTTTGGTGAAATCAACACATTCTGAACACGTTAGTTAGAGCTCATTTGTTTTATTTGGACATAATCTGTATGTGGATCTATACCCGTGGCTTTCCAGCGGTTTGACCGTGAACCTAGGTAGATAGACCTGGGTAGTCTATACAGTATACATTATAGATAGAAACGTGTAGTAGATGGAGGGAAAGAGGTTTTCCAAATGAACGCTCACCCACTAACTGTTCTGTGCTCTGACAGTTTCTCCTCTTTTTCCGCCTGTGTCATTAGGGCAGCGGGACAGTGTGCCAGTTGAGAGTCTCGAGGCCCTGACAACCATTGTCTCTTCAGGGCTGTGTGCCAGCTTAGGGGCCAGGGCTTATTCAGGCAGAGCGTGTACCCCGAGCAGCCCAGGGCAGAGAGGATAAGAGGCTGAGTGCAAACCACAACCACGCACAAGCCAAGAATCGGAGCAAAGGAGGCCAGCCGTGCTCAGATGTGAGACTCGTTCAGGAGGGGGCCGTTCTGTGAGGACCCCGGTGGGTGGGACAAAGGTTCTGAGCTGGTTCCGTGAATGGAGCTCATTGGCTGATGGCCATGGGCTCAGCGCTCTCTGGTTTGGATGCGGACAAGTAGGCGTTTGGTGGATGCACAGGTTGGCCTGCACCACCTGGAAGGTCGCTCTGGGCACCAACGTCTCGTTTGCAGAGCTGCCTGTGACCCTGTGACAGACCCTTTCCTAGACAGTGATGGGAGGACAGTTTTTCTGTTTGCAAGGAGTTGGGACTGCGGTTTCTGTGCCAGTCCCGTGAGCACGGGTGTCCCTGGCGACCGGCCATGGAATGACATCCATGCGTGGCACTTGATTTCCTCGCAGGTCCAACAACTTCTACCTGGCGACGCTTCTGTTTATGCTCTTCCTGTGCATGCTGCCCACCGTTTTTGCCATCGTCCGGTACAGGCCGTCTCCCAGCTGTGGGCCGTTCCGGTGAGTTGTCTGACCTCAGCCCGAGAGGCTCCCAGAATAGGTTAGTAGCAGAGAAGGAGCTCGAACTCGAGCCTCTAGAATCCAGGACGCGTGCCCTTTCTCGGGTAGCAGCTGTCCTCAGGTATGACCAGTCATCTCTGTGCTCCTCTTCAGAAGATATGGCCCATTTCACATAAACTAGGGAGACAGCGTCGGCCGGTGCGTCTCGGTCAGGCTCCCCCTTCCAGAACGCAGAGCTCTTAGAAAAAGCTGGCCCGCGTCACTTTGGAGTCCCAAGTATGTGGCTGCTCAAAGCAGAAACCCCAGCGGTACGTCCCCGCACATGTGCTGGACGTCGTTTCCGATGCAGCATACACCTCGCAACTAGAGTTTGCTTCTGTGCACACAATTACAACACACATGCGATGCGACGACAGCCCTCGCCTCAAAGCTCTGTGCCCATGAGGTGACACTTCGCAGGACAGCCATGGGGCAGCACTATGTACCGCTGAGGCCCAGGCACTCACTGCACTCTTGTGACCAACTTTGAGGGGACTGTAGCCACCTCGCCATTTCCAGATGACTTGCAGCACCCCCTCTGCCAGGTGTGACGTAACGTGGGGGTACGTTGTGCTTTCTCGCAGTGGCCAGGAGAAAATTTACGACATCGTGTCGGAAACGATCAAGGAAGGCTTCCCCGCGTGGTTGGGCTCCGTGGTCGGGTACATCAGCAGCCCCGTGGTGATCCTGCCAGCCGTGCTGCTGCTCGTGTGAGTACCACAGCCACCTCCCTGCTAGCTGGGGATGGCCGCGTGTGTGCCAACAAAACCGCCAGCCTTCCAATAATTATGTAAAATCAGCAACTCGTTCCAAAGCTGCTTAGAGGCGGGCCCTACGGAGGAATTCTGATTCACCCCAGGGGGCACGGCATGATCGAGTCACCCACAGCCCAGTTTGGGAACCCACTGTAGCCACTGTGATGGGGTCGAATGTCATTATCAGTACCCTGTTCTCCAGCTTAAATAGCCTCGAGGAGGAATTTCACAATGCACTGAGTAGCCTCTGCTTGCTTTGGCTTAAGGAAAAGCTATTGACAGAGCACGCAGACCCAGCTCTCGTAGCCTGACACCTGTAAATGCCTCTCCTTACTGCTCTAACCCCCACTGAATTCAGGTCAGTGGGGGTTGCTGTGAAGAGCAGAGGTCGGGGGAAGCAGCCCATTCCCAGGCTGGCCGCTGGAAGGCTCACTGAGACCTCTTTTCCTCAGGGGAGGGGTGGAGGGTGGGCTCTGGCCGAGCAGCCCAGCAGGGACCGGGCTGCGTGGTGCCAGCCAGCAGGGAGGTGTGCTCACGGCCTGCTTTTCCTCCTAGCATGCTCATCTACTACCTTCAGAGCATCGCCAGGTCCCTGAAGCTCAGCAACCAGCAGCTCAAAGTGCACATCCAAAACGCAAGTATCACCTAGTCCTGCTCTGCCCCATGTGTGTCCGCCACGCGACAGGCCTCTGCAACAGGGAACAGGACAGGCCACGCTGCCCAGTCGCTGGGGCACAAGGCCACCCCTCCCCTCCGGATCTCCTGGAGTTATTTCTAAGCACACCCAGGGTGGCTCCCATCTGTCCGTGGCCTCTCTCCCAGGGGCTTGCTGGTGCCCTGGGCACTCGAGCACCGCCAGTGGCCAAGCTCAGCCCTTAGTGTGCTGGCTCTTCTGCAGTGTGGGGGTGCATACAGAGGGGGAGAGGAAGGGCCGTCCCCAACCCCCTATCAGCCTGCACATCTGAGCCCAGACGCACGCTGGGACCCAAATACCCGCCTTTTCCCAATTTTTTAGGCTCTGGTTGTCCTTAAGTTCTCTCCCATCTGGGGCTCAAACCTTAACGCCCAGAACAGTCAGAGGGAGAGCAACCCCCAACCCTTCCATAATTTCTCCTCCTGCGCTCACCCCAGGTGCTCCCCCCGGGCCAGGACTAGGCCGAGGAAGGGAGGCACCAGCTCCGAGTGTCACACCGACCCCACACTGTCACAGTCCCAAGATGGAGCGCCGCCCCTGAAGGCCCCACTGCTGTCACCCCAGCCCCAGGACCCCACGCAAAAAAACCTGCAGCTCTCCATTTTTTTAAAAAAGAACACCTTCCATGAATATCAATTCATGTAAAGAAATAGCAGTGCGTTCCGTGAATAGTCAAAGAAGAAATGTATTGGGAGTTGCAAAGGGCATGTTTGTGCAAACATATGTCCCCCGTGTTTTGATCCACACTTTGTCTTCTGTGCCTCAGGCAAACCGTTCCTGGCAGAGGTAACCATGGCCTGTCTAGTAGCTGTCCCTGGAAATAAAGCTCTCTAGGGATAAAACTCTGCTTGGGTGTCAGCATTTATTTACTCTAATAACAGGCTGACTCCAGAGCACGCTGTCCTCCGCAGGCGGCACTGGTTCAGTCAGGGTCCAAGACACCAGCAGTGACACATATGCCGTTTTCCCCCCAAGAATGAATCTTGTCACTGTTTCCTGCTGAATCCGAAACAAGCATATAATTTTCATTTCTATTGTAGGCAAGATCTGAAGATAAGAAAAAGGTTGCCCAAATGGTAGAAGGTGAGTATAAACAAAAACAGGTGATGACTCGTTTGGTGGGCATTTAAGAATAGAGCAGTTTAAGGTGCGCAACTTGGAAAATTTCCCATAAACTGTGGTTTTCACCATGAACTAGGCACAATACAATCTAGGGATATAAATGCTGGTTTCAGTGTATAGTTTTCACACCGTAACCAAGCCTTCTAATAACCCCAAAACATGTCTGAAATCAGAAGAAAATTTTGAAGTAGGAGAGAAAAAGCAGCACAAAACTCTGGATAAAACCCAGAAGAACATGGTCGTTTTTGCATACTTCTCTCAGTGGCCCGTTTCTTCCTTGCGAGGCCCCCTACCCCTGGCTCTACCCCAGGGTCGGCCCCCCTCAGGTCAAGTCCCCTCTGCCCCACCCCCGCAGGGCCGCCCGAGTGAGAAACCCAAACCCATCTTGTCCAGTGGCACCTGGACAAGCGCGCTCCCCCCCACCCAGGCTCAGAGGGGAAAGGAAGAGCCCCCCAGAAAGAATGAAAGCATAAGGAGTAGAAGTCTGGTGTGGCTGGCGGAGGAAAGTGGGCCCCAAGGCTGGGGAGTAACCCACTTTGCCTGAGGGGGGCGCCAGGTGGTGCAGCTGCCAAGCCTGAGCTCCGACCCCCCCCCACTGCCCTGCTGCTGCAGCCTTCTGTGCACTATGAAGCGTGCGTTGCCCACAGACGCGGCGTGTCTGCGTGTGCCCACAGCTATCTGCATGGCCCGCTGCTGGAGGTCATGGCCTCCTGCAGCTAAGCTGCCCTCACCCTGAATGCAACCCCCCCCCCCCCGGAGCTCACCTTCTCACAGATCCCTCTTCGTACAGCCCGGATCCAAACCCGAGAGCCGAGCGCCAGGAGGCTGCCCAAGGACCATGTTCTCAGCGGCCACCTGTCCTCAGCGCCCTCGGCGATAGCCCCAAACAACGGCCATGTGCTCAGCTTCGACACGTCAAGCAGCAAGAGCAGCCGGGTAGAGACGGTCACCCACCCCGTGCCCCCGAGTGCCCAGCCCGGGCCCGGCAGCCCCAGCCCGCCCCTCCCTGGCATCTCCCAATCCGGGCCAGAGGGTGACACTAACAGGTGAGCTTGACCGCACCACAGCAGGACACCTGCCCCCCTGAACTCGCCATGTGATTGGCCAGATCCTTTGTGCTGTAGCTGTGGGCTGGGCCAGGTTGTGAGCAGGGTCACGCCTGCGTTAGGTGCGGCCAGTTGTTCGTCTGGTGTCCACATAAAAGCAGGAGCATCTGTGCCGTTGGTGGGGATGCGGGGTCAGGGAGGACTGAAGTGGGTCTGAATGTCACACAGTGACAGCAATATGGATGCAATACAGGGGGTTTTGTTTTGGGGGCTTGGGGTAGGCTTTTCTGTTTTTTTAAAGACAGTGACTAAGTTAATAAAGAACTTGAAGCCTTGGTATACGAAGCGTTGTCTACAGGTCTCTGTGGGGCCTTGACAAGGAGGAGGGTGTCCAGCAGTCCTTGGAGGGTTCTGGGGACCGCTCTGTAGCAGAAAAGGTGAAGAGTGCTCCTGACATGTGCTCCGCCAATGTCAGTCCCGTTGTGCGCCCCCGGACAAAGGAAGCCCTCTTTGGGGTGCCCCTCCTTGCATTAAGGGCTCTGAGAGTTCCAGCAGTGAAGAAACCTGTGCAGGCCAGTGCGTTCCACCCAAGGCCACCGTGTGACACTGTGGACCCCAGTCTGGAGACACCTGGAGACCCACGTGCTCGGACGGCGTGGGGTTCTGAGACCACCACAGCCATGGCCACGGTGCTGACCCCCTCTGTCTTACAGGTGTCCGCGTGGTCCGTGTGCAGGTGGCCGTCACCAGAGCAGACCCCACCCAGCTGTGACGTTTACAAAGCACAGCGAAGACATTCACTCAGAACCCCTTTTCCAGCAAGACTTTCAGCAGGCCAGCCCCCCTCTCCATGGAGCAGGGGTGTCGGCCTTGGTGCCACGTGGCCTCAGGCCCCACGCCCCTCGGTACTATGCTGTCCGTGAACGTGAGTCTCCAAAAAACACCCGTCCAGCGTTCTGGCCAGAAAGACATTCCGAGATAGATGCCTTGGGGGACATTGTAGAGATGCACCCCAGGAACATGCGACAGATGATGTCCCAGCTCTCCCGGCAGGCTTGCTCTCCACTGCTGAGTGAGGACGAGGAGGAGGCATGGAGGGGAGAGTGGGCCCTCCGGCCTCTGCACCGCCGCGCCCTGGCTGACCTCCACAGGGCTCCTCAATGTTATATTGATGCCAGATCAGAAAGCCAGGCCCTGGCTGCTGAGCTGCTGGGCCGGGGCCATCACAGGCCTCGGAAGGATGGTTCTGAGGGTCACCTCACCCGGCTGACATTTGTGCAGAAGAAGCCACATTCCCGGAACCCGCGGCACCCCCACCACTCTCTGCGGCCCAGAGTCAAGCCCAAGTTCGAGCCGCGCCTCACAGAATCAGATTCCATGTCAGCGGCATCAAGCAGTGACCAGCAGAGCAGCAGCGCTGACCAGTACCTCCAGGTGACTCGCGGCCAGGGCAGCTTCCCACGATCTGCGGGCCAGCTCGGCGTGAGGAAGGCCGACTCGAGGCTGGAGCTGACTGTGGATCTGAATGACCTGATTTGTTCCGATGTCTAGCGGCTGTGTCTGGTGTGCTGTCCCTGAGACCAAGCCCTACTGGAGAGCTCGAGTGGCCTGACTGTGTGTCCCCTCACCTGCTGGAGAGAGGGCCGAGCACGCATGGTGGGGGCTAGAGACCTGTGGGGCAGCTCAGGCGCGCTGGCCATTCTGCAGCTGCTGTGGGGTCCCCCGATGCCCGGCCCCCTGGCACCCTAGGCCATCATTTCAAAAACTTCAGCCCTTTGTCCCCCATTGAGGGTGACCGCAAATCTGACCATGTGACTGAAATGTGTATGGCAAGGCTGCCTGTCAGCACACGAAACTCCACCCTCTGATAAGGTGTCCACCCTTAGGGACTTCATAGCACTTGGCTAGCAGCCTGAATAATCAGGTTAGTGGCGACAGGAGCCAGCCTGCCTACTGACAGCTGACCCTACTGTTTGCTATCTGTCTGTTCGTTGGTCAGGCACGTAGGCTGGCGGTACAGAGCCCCCAGGGTCTCACGGTTCCTGTAACTGGGAAGACTGGGAGGCAGGCTGGCTTCAGGCCAAGCTGGACCAGGAGGTCAGACATCTTTGGGGCTCCGTCCTTTCACCTCTAGCCCTATTTGTGGTATTGACTTGGGTTTCTCCTGCTATGTGTAGGTGGAGGAGGCATTCACGGGCACAGAAGTTCCAGGTGCGTGGCCCCCAGCCAGTGAGCTCGGGTTCTCCCTCCCTCCTGTCAGGCCGTTTTCCCCTGTGGCTGCGGCCCTGTTCTCCAGGATCAGGTCAGGGTGGGGCAGCGGTGTGTGTGCCGCCTGCCGGGGCACAAGCCCTATTCCTTTCTCTTCCGATAACTCCTGTCACTCTCATTGCGTCTTTGAAGTGTTCTGTCTCTACTGGACTGTGAGAGCCTTTGGGACAGGAATGGTGTTTCTTCATTTCTGTACCCCGGTAACTGACACTTACAATAGGGAACATCCCTGGGGACGTCCTTTTCTGGTAGAGGTGCCCTCAGGCCCCACCACGTTCCCTGGTGAGGGTCCCCTCTTCCACGTGCTTGGCCTGGGCCTGTCGCTTAGGGCTCCCTGGGCCTCTGCACACACTTCAGAAAGGCCCAGCTCTGCCCCAGGCGCCTGTCGGAGCACCTGTGTGTGTGTGACGACGGGGAGGCCCTCCATCCTTCCTAAGGACACGCCCAGGGTGGCAAACATGTGCCACCCTTCCGTGTCCAGCACAGCTCACATGCACTCCAGGTCTTACTATAGGCTCTGTCGTTAGAGGAACGTAAAACATGCAGAATCATACAAAGACTAGTGGACAAGCACCCACATCCCCACTGTGTCAACACTGTTGAAATTTTATTTCCATCTAGTCATGTTGTTATTAGTAGCAGCAGCAGCAGTAGTAAAGAAACTGTTACAGATGGAATCAGAGTCCACTCTAATCTCCACACTGAGTTTTGTTCCTCTCTGACTACCAAGAGTTTGCTGTGTGTCTGTCCATTCAGCCACCTGTTCACCGTTATATGTGGTGCGTGTGTGTCTGTGCATGAATATATATGTGTGGGCATCTATAAAACAATACCTAAGTATGTTTTACCTGATTAAACGCTGTCACACTGCATGTGCTGTTCACGTTTGTCTGTTGGACAAATATATTGATCACACTCCCTTATTCTAACTGCTGCATAATATTTCATCATGTGAAGATACTATACACTATTTATCCATTTCTTATCGGTGGACATTGAAATCCCTTCCATTTGTTTGCAGCTAAGATAATGTCGCACAAAATATTTTTATACTCGGAAGAGGACGCCGGTGCTCCAGACGGAGAAACCCCAGGCCCAGGTTCACCAGCTGCCCCTTTTTTAGTCCCCACTAAAAAAGTGCCCAGACCCCCACCCAGATCCCCTCTGCAGGTGATGGGAAGGCCATTTTTTGTGACAGCATTCCCCATACTTGTTATTGCCCACGATGTAATTTTTGCCAACTTGGTAAAAAAAAAAAGCATCCCAAGTTATGCCAAGTTATGGTAATGAATTGGCATGTCTTTGATGGTCAGCGTCTTTCCTTGTGGGGATTGGCTGTTTTCGGTTTCTCTCCTGTGAGATGACTGGCTAGTCAACACCTCGGCTCATTTTCCTGCCCACAGTCACCCCATATCGAAATGGCAGCAACAGAAAGCACCACACCCGCCCTTTCAAAACGCCCTTGCCTAACTGTGGTTTCGTAATACGCCCTTGGGCGTTAAGTCCATGGCAGGGTGGCGGAGGTGATTGCTGTCTCACTGAGGACAGGAGCCAGCTACTGCTGAAAGTCTTGCCTGAAAACACCTGTGGGACAAACGCCCTCTCCATCCCCTATCTCTGACATCATCACAGTTGTATCTGTTACATTTCAAGAGTGAATCCCTCTGGATCAGAACAGCCTGCTAAATGTCTCAGTAACCTGAGGGCATCTCCCGTGGTCACTCCTTATGTTTCCAATCTGTGAGTGGCCTCAAGTTTAGAGAAAAGTCTTCTGGGCATCTCTAAAAGACTATCTTCCCTAGTCTGAGGTGGGATTCTTGCTTTCCAGCTGCTCTGCGTGTTTCCTTTTGTTATAGGGTTTGTATGTTGTGGCTTTTTATTGTTTTTCTCTTTTGCTCTTTGCCCATTTCCTGGTAAACCATGCATATCCTTAGAGGGAGGAGGAGGCAGTACACAGCTGACCTTCAGAAACAGAAGCTGGGTGTGTGCCACACCTCTGCTGCCTCCACACTAGGTGGCCTTGGATACCCGTGTGAGCCTCACTGCCTTAACCTGGGAAGTGGGAATGGTGGTCTCCACCTCATGGTGCCGGGGTGCTGTCGTGAGGGTTAGGAGCTCAGCAGAGTGCCTGGGAAGCAGGAAGCACTGAGTGACCTTAGCTGTGGCAGAGTGAAGAATAAGCCAACACCCACACTGTGCTCGCAGGCTCACCTGAGCCCTGTGTGAGCTGCCTTAGGCAGGAAGCCAGCACCCAGTGGCTCCTCAGTAGAAAGCCTTCAGGATGGGAGGGCTTGGACACGTGTGCCCATCCCCTTGCTGGTGGGGGTGAGAAGCCCCTGGGCCACCGACCCCATGTACACCTACTTAAAATTCAACTAGGACTTCCGTGAGGTCTGCTCTGGACCTCGGGGGGATGGGCTCAGGTCAGTGGGATCCGCAGGCCTCAGGCATTCCTCCTTTCCCAGCAGCTCTGACCCTCAGGCAGGTTGCAAAACCGATGGAGGAGCCTGTGGCATGCAGGCAGGTCCCACCCTCCCTGTGCTCCTCTGGCCGAGGTTGCCTAACAAGTCACCTGCTACAGCGGGGAACTCGGTCCCTCAGCTTGGTATTCACAGCATTTTATCCCCAAAACAGAATGCTAATGGGCCCCAGCCGACATGACCTCCAGCTGCAGCTTTATGGACATGTCTTACATTGAGTTTTATTAGAGGCTTTTTAAATTTAAAACGTCTTACATGTTCATAGTTAAAATAATTATACAGTAGATGATATAAAATTAAATGTCCTCTGCTGTACTCCCATTGTTAAGTGTATTCCGTAGATTTCTGGAAGTGAATATCCTAAACATATAAACATCTGAGCACATTCCGAGTTCTTTGTTTCTCACTCCAGATATATACATAGCATGTAACACACATGATACTATGTGTGTCTATTGTATGCTGGCACCATTCTGATTGCTATTTGTTTATTAAATCCTTGGACCCATAATGTCAGCCCTGTGAGTGAGCACAGCTCTTTTTTTTCATTTCCCAATGAGGATGCTGAGGTCAGGAGCAGTCAGTGCCTTGCCAAGGTCATATAGCTAATGAGTGGCGATGCTGAGATTTGAACCTGGGCCTTCTGACTTGAGCACTGTCTTATGTACGTACTGTTCTGTAACTTGACACTTTTTGACTATATGTATTATGGGTATCGTTCCTTGTCGGCCCATGCATAAAACATTTTATCTGGCGGCGTGGGGGGGGGGGGGG